GATGGGCCGTACATTACTTTACTAAAATTTTGAAATTATTAAGATTTAATCTAGTGAAATCTGATTATCCTTATCCGATGGGGCTTCAGCGATAACCATTTCACTAATAAACCCACAAATGGAGCCCGCAGATTTTAAAATTAATTATTTAATTTTTAAAACCTTCACCCATTCAACATTTTTGTTTGAGAATTTTCATAAGCCTTGTCGAATTCATTGTTTAATTTCAAAATTATCTTTAATAACTTCGTATTATCGACGATGAGCCGTACAATACTTTATTAAAATTTTAAAATTATTAAGGCCCAATAAAATCCAATCATGCTTATCTGTTTGGGCCTCACATAATTATTTTATTGATAGGCTCACAATGCGCCTGCTAGGGGTGGTAAACAAACCAGGGGCCTTTGGCTCGGCTCGGGAAGGCCTGAACCTACATGTCTGAAATTGGTTATTGGAACCAGACTTGGACTTGTATAAAAGCTCGTTTAATAAAAAGGTCTGAGGCTCCAATTCAAAAGCTCGGCCTTGAAGCCTCTCAGGCCGACCTAGTATATTAATTTTTATTTTTATTTTATATTTTTTATATACTTGTAATAGTCCTCTCTCTCTCTCCTCAATCCATTTCACCCCATTTTTTTGGTTAAACAGATTTTTTGAATAATTTTGTTCTATATTATGTTGTTTATATATACATTGAATTTATGAATATTTATGGAATTACTAGTGCTGTTGATTGTATATTCTGTTTGGATAAATTTTTGTTGTCTTATCTTTTTTTTATACAGTCTAACAGGTCAAACCAGACTTTTATTTTTTGTAAATAAGACAGGCCAATGCCGATAATTATATTCGTAACAGGTAACAGGCTAAGTCAGACTGACACATTTAAACGCAGGCTTAGCCTTTTAAGACCAAAGCTCGGCCCGGCCCGTTAACACCCCTAGCGCCTGCAGGTTAAATTAATTTCTTAATTTAAATCTCCTCCCATAATTATCTAGGTCCAATCTAATAAAATCCAATCATGCTTATTCGATGGGACTTCACATGATTATTTTATTAATGGTCCTATAATGCGCTTGAAGGTTAAATTAATTTCTTAATTTAAATCTCCTTCCATTCAACATAAACAATATTTTCCAATTTTCAAGAATTATTTAATTGAGAGTATCCTTTGTTTGATTTCAAAAACTATGTAAGCAAGAGCACCGATGAACGTGCATCACTTAGCTTATCTGAATTTTAAAATCATCAAGGTCCTAAAATACTGTCATGATAGGCAGCGTGTGCTTCACACATTCATGATACATGATTGTGGTATGCATTGTGTGTTTAACACATGACCATTTTAGTAGACCCACAAATTACTCGCAGAATAAAAGAATTCTCTTAGGAAATTTTCTTACTAATTTGTCTTGATTTTAAACTCCAAAAATAATCAATTTGATTATTCTAGATTTTACCAAAATCATAATAATTAATTAATTTTCGAAATTAATATAACCATTAATCTAGATTTTGTTTCTAAAATCATAATAATCCTAATTTTATTTTACCGGAATTATTTAAAATCAAAAAACTACGCGCATAAACTATCATTCTAGTCGGTAATGACATAATAGTAAATATGCACGTATGACATGTGATCATGCAGCAATATGGAACCTTCTTATCCTATATGACATGTTATCGCAAATATCATGTTAATCGCACATATAATTCATACCAATCAATAAAAGCATTAAATAATAAATTCTAATTACTTTAATCCATGGTCTTCCTATTTTAAAGAAAATAAAAAATAAAAAAATAAATATTACAACTTTGGAGTTCAACTTTCGCCTAGCTCATAGTATCTGTCTCAAGCCCCTTTAGGGTTTCCATGGGCCCAAAAGCCCAAAGACCCAATCCTTTGGCGAGAAACCCTAGGACGCGAAAGAGGAATCCTAGCCGTCAGGTCTGCCGTGCCGTCACCCAAAGTCAACTCAGGCCGAAACTCCAGGGGAAGGACCGCCATATAGAAACGAGTTCACCACCGCCGGACCACCCAAAAAGGTGGCCGGACGCTCCCTCAAGGCCGAGTAACTTTTCATCATTATAAATAACATATATCTGGGTATTAATTGTCTTCAAGTTGGATACTGATTTTGGTAAACGACACAACTTTGCAAAAGAGGTTCGAGATAAATCTCTCCAGGTCCTACATTTTTCTTTAGAAAGGCTCACAAAACCTACAAATGAAGGGTTTGTTTCATTTTTTAAATTGATTTTTGGTTAATTCGATTAACTGTTTTTCAGTTCAGTCATAAGAGGCTAATCGCATGCCCGACCTGATAACTGGCCCTAACCGGTCATCCCGCCGGGTCACCAAAACCCGGGTCGACCCAGCCAGATCGGTGCAGATTTAATAACACTGATAATAAAGCAATTTGTGCAATATTTTCTTATATCTACCTAAAAACAAAATATGTATTTATTAAGCAATACCAATGCGACAAAGAGATGGAGCAATCACAACTTAATAAGAGATACAAACCTCAACAAAAATTTTGTCCTCATATTTATTTTCCTAAATCTTTGATTGAAAAAACAGAAATGAAAATGGAACTGGAATAGAATGTACATTCATATATTTAGTTTAGTATATTAGAAATAAAATGATGATTTATATTTTATTTTATGTTTGTTATACTATAATTGAAAATAATAATAATTGTCGCATTTATGTAGTAAGATTAGGTCTGTTTTCCTTAATGGGGTGAAGTAGTAAGATTAGGTTGGTTTTCCTTAAGGAGGTGAAGTATCTCGATATAACAGTGATATAATAGGTAATGATATAAATCAAAGCTCAATAGTCTCATACTAAAGCTCAGAGCGAAATTGTGTATGAGGGCACACTAACTCTGGGAGTATTTTTGTATAGCAATAACTTTTTCAATACTGTTTAGAATATGTCTTTTCAATGATTTAGACGAGGAAGATTCCCCAACGAAGAATAAAAAAAATGAGTCGTAATTGCTTTACTCTAAAGGGCCTCATTTAGGGTTGATAAAACAGGCTAATCCGACTCAACCCGAAAAAAATGAGTCGGATTAGGATTGATTCGAAAAAAAACGAGCCAGAAAATTCAACCCAACTCGACACGAGTAAGGTTAGGGTTGGCTCGCGGGTTGGCTCGAAAAAATGGCTCGTGGGTTGGCTTGAAAAAATGGCCCACGGGTTGGCTCAAAAATGGCTCACAGGTTGTCTCATTTTCAGCTTATTTAAATAAACATGCAGTATTAATGCACCAGCTATGCAATTCCCATCAGCTTAAATAATACAATTGTCTTATAGAATAGTTTATAAAAAAAGAAAATAAAAAGTTACAAAACGAGAAGTGAAAACAAAATGTTCTAGTTTCGAATTTAATTTACAACAAATTTGCACCAACATTGAGAAACAATCAGAACCACCTACTACCAAGTGGGTAAGATATTTGAACCAAACAGAGCTAGCACAGCCTAACAATATGAAAATGTTAGCAATGTGAGAAAATTAGAGACTTGGGTTTAGAGAAAGAACAAAGACGATGACAGCGTGTGTGAATTTTGTCCATTTTTGTATATTATATTTTGTATTTTTTTATTTAAAAAAAAAACTCAACCCATGAACTGGCCCGTGTGATCCGGGTTGGCTCATTTTTTTTCAAACTGACTCGGATCGGATTGGTTTGAATTCGCAGCTCATTTTTTACCAACCCTAACCTCAGTCTATCTGAGGCAAGCACATTCAGTTGTACGTGAAGTGTGATTATGCTCATACGGAAAAGTGAGATCCTATACAATAAAAATATAAAAATTTATTTTAAGAATACAAATGACCCCTTATATGAAGTATCCGACTCATTGGATTGGGCAATATAGTTGATCGAGAATAATAATAATAATAAATTTTCTTTTTTTTAATTTTAAACATGGTTGACTCGACGAATATTGAACTAAACAATTTCTCGGGACAAATTGGTCTAACAAATTATTTTTTAAATTTTTTTTAAAATCACAGCTTCGACAGAAGGATTTTGGATTTAAATAAACTAATAAGTACTCCGTATATTATACAGCTACTTTGAATTTTAGTAAAATATAAGAAAATCATAAATTAAAAAAATACTTAAGAAAAATGTTTATAAGGAAAAAAGTATCTAATGTTACTTTAGATAGCTTTATCTAATGTTCATCGAAACGAGTTGGCTTATATTATTTTTTTTTTGGAGTTACCCAACCCTAATTATCTCTTTGAGACGAGTTGGCTCCCTCCGGTATCCCCACGAGCTTCGACTCTTTGAGCCGGCTATGAGACTAATCCGGAGTGCGGAGGAACAGTGATGGCTAAAGGTTCAGCCCCCTCCCCAAGAATGCATTCAGCGGGAATCGAACACATGTCCAACCCCACTAACGTGTTAACTTTTTTAATTTATTTTTCTCAAATCAGCTCTCAAATCTTTTATTTATTAGAATTGTCATATTTATTCATGAAATCATTCAAAAAGATGTAGCCATAATATGCACTTATTGAGGATAACACTCTCTACAGATTACACAAAAAAGTGGGCTCCACGGCGTTTTAAAAAAAACTTTAAGGGAAAAAAGTTTCCGATGTTACTTTAGATAAAGTTATCTAATGTTCATCGAAACGACGTCGTTTTGAGATTAAAAAATTAAAAAATTAGAGTGATAAAGACTATTCTAACCCTGAAATAAATTAAAATTACAAAAATATCATGATTTTCGTCCTAAAACGACGTCGTTTTGATGAACATTAGATAAAGTTATCTAAAGTAACATCAGAAAAAACATACCCAAACTTTAAATTGAGTTTCATAATTGAAGACAGAACTTGCTCGTTTAATATCTTTCTTCACATAATTTTATCGTATACAAATTATGCCAAGTGGCTCCGAGCCTATGCTATTATGAAAACATTACATTGCAAAATTAAAAAAGAAAAAAAGAAAAAAAGAAAAAAAGAAAAAAAAAAGAAAGGAGGTGGACTGAACGCTCGCTCTGATAACTGGTGCGGAGTTAGGAGTGAGGTTTGGTGTGTGCTTTGAGAAGCAGAAACCTCAGGTACGGACTCAACCTCAGGTTTGGACTCTTACCTCTCTCTCTATTCTGGATAGCCGTTAATCTCCGTCAACCTCTTCAACTCCGTTTCCCGAATCACCGGAAAAAATGGGTGCTAGGGTTCCGGTGCAGCACTACAATCTCAACTCTCCCACTTCCTTCATCGAGAGCCCTCTCCACGTCCTCAACGCCGTCGACGCCAGGACCGCCGGCCCCGCCATCGACGACATCGCCGCCGTCGACACTGGAGATACCCTCGATAACGAAGACCACGATACCGCCGCCGCCGTCTCCGTCGTGAGTGTGCCCTCACTGCATTCCTCTAATTATTTTTTTCCTTCCTCTTTTCAATTTTTCCAGCGTATGAATTTTGTTTTTTCAATTTTCGTTTCTTTTAGGATTGCATGAATGAATCCCATACGAGTTGTTTGCCACTTCACAGTGTGGAGGTTGACGAGGATCGCTCCAGTCTCGAGACTAACGAGTCTTCTAGAGCTCCTCTAGTTTTGACCATTGAGGGTAAAATCCTCTAGTTTTGGTAGCACATTTGAACTTGTGATATTGTTCTAGGTATGTGGATTTTTGTGTAATTAAAATTGAGTTGAGGTGAATTGATTTTAGTTCAACTTGGAACTAGATGTTTCGCCTATCGAATCGGCGAGGGCGAAGTTTCTGCAAATTGTTGTGGAACATTTTATTGATCACCATGAGATCGAAGTGCCTGATCCCGAGGGTGATTACGCTGGCCAAGATAAAATGAGTAAGAGGAGGACAAGAGAGATTCATTATGAAGGAGACCCAAATTATGCTCTCCCTTTGATGCATGTTGCAAATATGTATGAAACTTTAGTTCGTGATGTTAATAGTAGGCTTGATTCCTTGAATGGTATTCGCGAGAAGACAATTGGGGTGGCCCTTGAAGCTGCTGGTGGTTTGTATAGAAGATTGGCTAAGAAATTCCCTAAAAAAGGTATTACATTTTTCCTTGTACCCTTTCTAAATTCTAATTAGATTTGACTTGCTTCTTTTATTTTTTCAAATTCTTTGGCAATTTATTGTTGGAAAAGAATTTTTCTATTTCATACTTGATGTTTCATCATTCTTGAAAAATAGAACTTGTGCTTGGGCTGTGCATGCAGAATGGCAATTCGGGTTGATACGACACTATACGAATTTGACAATAACACGATAACACTCAACACAAACACGACATAAATTTGAAAATGGGTTAAAACCTTCAACACGAACATGACCCGCTTATTTTGCAGGTTGATAAATCTGTAACCTCAAAGTGTGTCACTTATTATGTGGGTTGACATGACATGACATAACACGAATAACTTGCCAACCTCACTGTGTTTTGCTTATTATGTGGGTTGACATGACACGACATAACACGAATAACTTGTCAACCTCAAATTGTTTTGCTTATTATATGAGTTGACACGATATGATATGACATGAATAATCTGTATACGACATGACATAATACAAATAATTTACAAGAAGTTTCATGCGGGTCAATTTCATATTTATATGTTGACACGTAACACTACTCGAATTTTTCGAGTCGACTTTTGTCAACACAAACACGATACGAATTTGAAAACGGATTGACTTGAACACAAATTTTTCTTGTCATGTTTGTGGGTCATGTTGAAATTACACAGTGCATGCAACTAAGCACTTTGGTGTAAGAGGGATTTTTTTTTTTTTTTTTATGACGTATTGTTGTAACATTTGATGCCTTTTATCTGAGTTGCTCCTCAACAGGACCACGTACATATAAGAGAAGAGAATTGGCGACTTCTATGGATACAAGGACAAGGTTCCCAGAGCTAGTTATACAAGAAGAGAAGCGTGTGCGCTTTGTGGTAGTTAATGGATTAAAAATTGTTGAAAAACCAAACAGCATGTCAATTGACGACGCAGAGTGGTAAGTTGAGTGTTGCGGTGTTTATTTCTTTTATTGTGGTGGGCTCTTTTGAATGGCAAGGTTTGTTTAGGTAAGAGTTTAATATTATCCTTTTTCCTTAGCTGAAGATATGCTTTCGGTTCATTCAAGCATTAATACTGTACATATATGCATAGGTGAAGTATCCAAGCATATTAGTATCAAATACGTATCTGACACTGATACTCAAATAAATTCATATATTGGTGCTTAATAGCTGATGAGCCTAATAACAAAAATGGTTGTGATGAAATAGAGATTGAGCATTTATTTGAACTTTGAAGGTGAGTATGCTTGGTCTGACTTGCTTTGTTCTTGGTTTTAGGTTTAAAAGACTAACAGGTCGGAATGAAGTAGCTATCTCAGCTATTGATTACAAATTTTACTCTCCAAGACACAAGTATAGGCGTGGTGCATCAATGTCACTTTCAAATATCTCAGATATGCCTGTAAGTATGATGTGCCTCATTTTGGTAAATGAAGTGCTTCTTTCAAGATGCATAATAGATGAACTACTGCAGTTTTATGTCCAATGTCTAAACTGCAATTTCTAAATTTGTGCCATTACGGAAAAGTTTTACTAGCATGCTCTGATTATCAATATAATGTATTTTGTCATCTGCTGCCTGCATAATACTGATTGATATGTCATGATATATATTATACTAAGTGGGATAATAAGACTATATTTAGAGGGTGCATAGATTGTAATTGCTGCACTTCATTGTAGCAAAATTCTATCTAGTGTTTATGGTATTGACTTTTAACTTGTTTTTACAGTGTTATACTGGAGCAGACAATTCTACCACGTTGGTTACTACTCAAGAATTTCGCTCAGTAAGTGGTATATAAGTTTATATATATTATTGTCATTGTTAGCTTGTCTTCAAATGGGATAGTCAGTGCATGCTGTTTTTTTCACTTCAGTATATTTTTTGGGTGAGGACTGCAGATGATGTCAATCATTCCATTAAATTTAAGTTTGATCAAATATGAACTTGTTGCTTTTGGTGATTGGTCTTGCTTAAAACTGACGAGTAAAATTATAATTAAGCACTGTATGTTGGCTTCTTTTTCTTTCTTTTTTCCAGTACTTCTGAGAATTGGGTTCGTTTACCCTATTTTCGTGTCCATGCCTTGATTATGCTATCTGTTCTATTGATTGTGGTTACATTTTTTTCCTGTTACTTTTAATAATATTTTAAGAGCATTAGCATTATATGGGAACTTTTTTTTTCTCAGCCACAAAATCAGCAGCAAACCCCGTCCAAACATCCCTTGCAACCTTTGCCACATCAACCTCAGTTTCACCCAGTTCTCCAGAACAGTCAAACTATGCACCAAAGTCAGCACGCAGGGCCCTATTCTCATAACCATCAAAGTGGTCCCCCTTCACATCTATCAGAAATTTCTCATACTCACCAGACGACATCAATATCTCAACAGATGACTTGCTTACAACCACTCACAGGCAGCCATGTTGGGGGACGCTTGCACATGCTGGTGAGTTTATTTTATAGATTCTGTTTTATTGTGGATTATGAAACTTCTTTTATCAAATGAGGATAACGTTTTTATAATTCAATTTGCATCTCTAAAAGGGTGTTAAGACCAACTTATTGTGTTTGCTCTATAAGCTCTAGCCTTTGAATGTTGTTTCAACAGTTAGACATAGCTTTGAAAGTAGATACTTGTTTTGGATTTCTCAATAGGACTAAGGGTTCACCTGATCTGCCTTATTATGTGTAATAGTCGATATGGTGCATAATAAGGCCAAAAGATTAGATAAAATTGTGGTTTTCTATAATGCTATATGAGGCATTTGTGCAGATTAATTATTTTAATGATTTTAGTTGTTTAATATTTCATAAGACTACTTTATCTTTTGCTGAATTATATCACGTTGCTTATAATACAGGCACCAACTCCGGCAAAGTTTTGTGATGAATGTGGGGCTCCATATTTGAGGGAAACATCTAAGTTCTGCTCCGAGTGTGGATCAAAGAGGTTAGGAACATGACAGGTTTAGACAAGTTTTTCATAGTATTTTTACCTTTTGAGAAATATATGTAGCCTAATAAATAGAAAAGAGTGCAGTCTTCACTTGAAAGGTGTGGCCTGGGTAAATATTTGTAGATATATCTATTGGGTTTGCACTGCCAGCTTTGTGAACCGAAATGCAGAAAGACTGGAATTGACAAGCTGGTTTATATTGTTGGCTTTTTGCTGTTTTAGTACTAGTATGTTCGAACTGACTGTATTTTTACTAACCACATGGATAATAGTGGGGTGTTGTAAAATCGTGAGCTATATATTTCTGATGAGATTGTAGAGTGAATTGGAAGATTTTGTACAAGACTCATAGGTCAAGTTTTATTGATATTTATTTTGTTGACATCAAGTTTTAATTTATTTACTTTAATAAATCAAACTTTGTTATGGATTATTTGTACTGGTTTCAAATTTCATTGATGATCAATGCTAATTCAGTTGGAAAATTGTAACTTAGGTGGTTCACTATCAGCCGAAGCAAGCTGTCATCTGAAGCATGGCATTTGAACAGAAAACTATCAAGACCCAAAAATTTGGCTAATTAAGATGTTTTCCATTTTAGTTTGTTTATTTTTTAACCAAACAATAACGTAATTTAACCTAAAAAGAAAACATAATTAGCCACTGAAGAAGTTTTTCAATTTAGCTCTTATATTGATTAAGTATCAAATTAGTATAATAGATTTATTTACAGTTAATTAACATTTGACCTATATTATCATACTTGATTAAACTATTATTTAAATTAGTTTGATATTTGGTTAATCAATATAATATATAAATTGAAATGAAACGCTTACCAGAAAAAAAATAATTGAAATAAAACACTTCACCAAGTACCACTAAATCGCTAAGCTGCAAACATGCCAAGTAACTACAGAAAGGCCATACAAGTCATCATTATAATTTTTATTTTATTTTTTTGGTAGACAATCATCATTATAATTTATATCAATGTTACAATTTTGTTTTCCCTTTTGCCTGATTCATTCTTTGGTCTTTTAAATCTTGTATCTTTTAGTTACCATGAAAAGTAAAGTGACTAGATTACAACTCAACATAATCATATCATTTCCTTGGTTGATTCTTGTTGATTCCATATATTAGATGCAGAGAAAGAGTATACCAAATGATTGGTATAAAAATAGAAATACTTTACAAATATGCGTGGAATATTCAAGAATATGGACAGTGTATTCCATATTCAAGGATTATACTGACATGTCGAATCCATTCTTGTGCTAATGTTTAAATGCAGTCCATAGGTCAATATTGGATCATTAGAATGAAATATGAATAGAATAAGTCCAACGTATTTTTTTGTCACTTTACGAATTGTAATTCCTACAATAAGAGAACTGCTCGATACGAATTTCGTTACAAATGAAATTATAAATTATGTATTTTTTGAAATACATAATTAGAGGAGTTTATAAATGTTATGTTACAAGAAAATACCACATTGTCCTATTGATCCATCGATCTTTGTACCACTTTTTTTTTTAAACAACATGTTGGGCCCATGTGGTGTTTTATTTTTATTGCATGACATGATAAATTTTCTGTAACATGATGAATGTATTTTAAATAATTACAATATTAAACTTATATCTTTTTCTCTCAATAAACATGTGAACCGATATATTATGTTCTTGGATTTCCATACAACGGTGATATTTTAGATTTTTTCATATAATAGGATAACTAGTGATACATGGTTTTTTTTATATCATTCATATTTTTCATAATTACTATTGTACCGCAAGTATTTATATTTTATATCTTTTACTATTGTACAATAGGATCACTCTACCATTACTACCCCAACCCTTGTCGTCTCCTAGCCATTTCCCTACCATTACTCTATCAACTATCATTATTATTCCACTCTTGCCATTGTTATGGTCTCCACCACTAACATTATTATTGCTCTATCATAATCACCACATCGTGTTTGTCATTACTCTCTACCTCCGCCATAATAAACTTCCTATCACGGCTGTTGCTGTCCCCTCCACAACCCTTATCACGGCTACTGCCGCCACATGCCACCTATTACCATTCTTTTACTACTGCTCTCTATTCTCATCATGTGTTTGATTCTTACTGTATTAAAATATATGTAGGCATGGTAACAATTTTGACAAATTAATACTCTAAATTATTTTTTATAAATACAAATGATATTTGAAAGAAATGTTATTGACCAATAGGGGTGAAACTGGGCCGGGCCGGCCTACAGGGGCCTACAACCCGGTCCATTAGTGGCCTGGCCTGGCTCGGCTTTTTTACTTGGCAGGTTGGGTTCAGGCTGCTGTAAAAGTTTGATTACATAATTGGGCCGGTATACTAATGTATTAAGCTTGGTCCATGAGCCTCCAAGGCTGGCCCAATTGTTCACCTTCATGCTTTTGACAGTAACTTAAATGCAGATTGTGATGAGTTATTGTTGTGATTCATGGTTCTGTTTGGACGTTAAAATTGTCATTTTTGTTTTAACAATAGAATTTGAGTATTTTGTGGAGTTGATTCATGGTCTGCTTGGAAGTTAAAAATTAACAGGCCAACGGGCTGGGCCAAGCCATTTGTTTTTTACAAATGGGCCAAGACAGGCTAACAGTTAGACTCATACTATGCTATCAGGCCGAGCCAAATTGAAATTTTTTTACATAGACTTAGACTGTACGGGGCAAAGCTCGGCCCAGCCTAACTCACTTTCACCACTATTGACCAACATTTACATTCCGCCCTTTCCTATTGCATAATGTTTTATACAGTTCTATTATTTATAAAATAAAATAAAACACATCTTCTGTACTCGCATACTTTTCATCAAAATTGTTTTTTTTTTCTTCCACTTTTTCTTTGGATTCCACCGCTCACATTAATTTTCTGTGACCCCCTTTTTCTTTGGATTCCATCATACAAGGAAATGTTTATTAAAATTTTCCCTTTTTTTTTAGGTAGAAATTAAATATAGGGCTTATGTGGGCTGAATTTCTTTCCGCTAACAAAAATCTAAAACAGTCTATTCCATACGTACCACCATTCCCTGCATGGTCATAATAGGACTTAAATGCATTCTTTATCCACATCTGTTTAACATGGTCCCCAGATTCAAGATTGTATTGTCAAATTGTCACATATGAAACTGACATACAAATCATTGTATTTATAGGTGTGAAAATACTTAATGCCAAACTTAAAAAATATGTAGCTAGAGTCATAGGGGCATTGTTTTGGCACGTTGTCCCATTTACTTGTTCTTTCACAGTGATATAAAGACGGTTGTCAAAACACCTGCAAATGATGTTAATTTTTTATTAGTAAGTTATTTGTAAATCATCCTTGAAGTTTGTGACATACCCTAACCTTAAAATGAGATCTTTGAACTTTTAAATACAAAAAATAAAAATAAAAATAAAAACCCTGAATTTTAGACTTTGTGAGTGTCTTTGATAGATACAAGACCGAGAGCCTGTTTGACAAACAAAAAAGTTTGAGTTAAAAATTATTTTAAAAGTTAAAACTAATCATAAAAAATAAAGTTAAAAGCTGTTTTATATAAAATTATTCAGGGAGATAAAATAATTTATTATTGGGATAAATGATAAAATTCATTAATAAAAGTTTAGAATAAAGATATAATTGAAAAATAAATATGAGAACTCCAAGAAGCTGATATCCATCATAAAAAAAACTCCCTCTAGTAACTTTTAGCTTTTAACACTTTTCTTCATTACAAAAAAAACTCCTTCCATGATATGAGCTTTTTAGAAATTATATTTGGCTAAAGTTCTGCTTATAAGGAAAAGAGAAACTAGAAATAAAAACTACCAAACATGCACTGAGAAGAGAACTTGAGAAGCCCGTATGTGTCCAACCATTAAGGTGCACCACAATTTCTAACCAGAGACCTTTTGGCTCCTTAATGTAACCTCCGTTATCCATGCACAATACCATACAAGTTGCATAAAACTCCTCAGCTTCCAGACGAACTTTGACTACACAATACAGAAGAACTTAAAAGATGTCATATACGCAGTGCAGTACACACAAAAGCAAAATCTATAACAACCAACCATGTCTCATCAACTTAAAAGTAATAGCACGTTCCAAATCGAACAATTTTGAGCCCCAACATTTCTAAAGAAAATAACACAGCCAGCCTTTGAATATTTTATGAAAATAGGTTTCAGAATAGTGTGATTAAAAAAAGATAGGTTAAATTATGTAACACTTGGAATAATCCTCCCACGTAGGAAATAGTGATTTATTCCTATGGACCTACGTAAACAAAATGTGTTAAAAAAGTATATGGAGATTATAGCATAACTAAAACCAGAGATCTATGAAAATCACACGTAGAGTCTGTCAAGTTAACCATAATATTTTGATGGTTCATTTCAGGAATAAATTCAAATTGAAAAAGTAAAAAAGTGGAATGGGTGGTACACACTGTTAAGCAGGAATATGGGAGGAAGAAATCAAAGACAGACTTTCCTAACAAGTTAGCAATTAAAAAAAAACCGCATATCATTCTAATCTCATTGCACAATATAAATTCAGAAGAAATGACAGTACTGACAATCATCAAAATAAAAATTGCTTTCTAAATTTATGAACTATTTGGAAAATGTTAAATCATAAATGCTTACATTGTGAAATTCACAGAAATAAGCTCAAAAGTGATACTTCTCCAACAGGGCCTACATCTAATGCAGCAACTTGAGATCACTACTACGGTTACATGTGTTGACATTAATATAATTAATAATATGCCAAGAAAGTATCATACACCTTGTATGTCGAAGTGGTGAAAAGGGCATCCACTATGGCTGAACTCCTCTACGCCTGCCATATAAAAGATTTCTTGTTCCGAGTCTTCTGACTATTGATTCTGTAAGACTCAGTTCCAGACTTGGAAGCACTCAGCTTGTACAATTTCGTAACACAGGTGTAGAAGAAAATGCACTCTAGCAAAAGGAATAAGCATATAAGACAAATTACATCAAGTATATAACTTGAAAGGAAAAAAAGAAATCTAAGTATATAGAAGAGTAAGTACCTACAATTATGAGCTTTCTACTCAGAATATTAGCCAAATTGATCATCACTCCCTGATGAAAATTAAAACTTCTTCAAACCAGGAAAGCATCATTTTACAGTCAACTTGTTGATCACATGAAAGCATGAATACTGAAATGCAAGTCCCAAAAGCTGCAGGATTTACATCATGAGGGAACGAGTGCCTTGAGAATGAGAATGCATCAATTAGAACAGGCAGTTGCCATATATAATGATGCATCAAATTCATTTCAATTAAGCTATTGAACTTTGGCAAAAAAAATGAAACATTCTAGATTGCGGGCCACAAAAATAAGGAACAGTAAACCGGGTACATAAAACATGTTTTCCCTCTCAAGTGCGTACAGAGGTAACTGTTATGTCAAGAGTCTCAGAAATTAGGCCCCTCCTCATCATATCATTATGAAGTGCCTGAGCTTCATTGCTGTCACCTAGCTCATAATATTTTCTCAATAGACAAATACATAGAACCTCATCAGGAATTATTCCCTTTCCGAGCATCTCATCTAGGAATGATTTTGCCTGTTGTAATTGACCACAATGAGAAAAACCCCAAATCAATGAAGTATAAGCATGCAGGTCTAGCTCCATACCCATTTCAACCATTTTATTTCGCAAACTCAAAGCTTCTTGAGGATTTCCATGCTTCAGGTTTCCATCAATCAAAGCAGTGTAAACTAATTTATCTGGACTGATTCCCTTATCCAGCATATCATTGAACACCTTCTTGCCTGCTTCAACACAATCATTTTTATAAAGGCCATCAATAAGAGCAGTAAAAATCATTATATTAGGTTGCAAACCAGTGCTAGTCATGTGGTCAAAGTAACTAACAGCCTCGTGGATAAAACCTTTTTTGCATAAACCATCAATTAGTACACTATAAGTAACAACTGTTGCCTCGATACCCAATTCCTGCATCTCTTGTAATAGATTAACAGCCTCCGTGGTTTTCCCAACCTTCAAATATGCATCCATAAGGGTGGTGTATATATAACTATTCGCAGTCAAACCACAATCCCTCATCTCACGTATTACAGCCTCAGATTCTTGTATCTTATTTTGGCTACAAAGTCCCCATATTTTGGTTCCATACAGCAACAAATCTGGTTTGAAGTTTCTCTTGTTCATTTCCTCTAAAATATCTGTGGCATTCTCTATCATCTTAGCCTTGATATATCCATGAACAAGGGAAGTATAAATTTGCTGATTAAGAGTCACTCCAGCTTTCAACAATGCCCTAAATAATTCCTCTGCTTCTTTCATTCTACCATCTTCACAAAGACCATCCAATAACGCAGTATAAGTGACAACGTTTAAGTTAAGTCCAGCCTGTAACATCTCACTAGCCAGTTTAAATGCTTCACTCAGATCACCTATTTTACAATTTGCATCAATCAAAGATGTATATGTAAATTCATTGGGTCGAAGACCAATACGTATCATGTCAACAAAAAATTTAATTGCTTCCAGCATCATGCCTGCTTTGCAAAATGCATCAATTAGTGTACTATATGTTACAACATTTGGTTTCAACTCTCTTTCCTTCATCTCATGTAGATACTTAAAAGCTTGAGGAATTCTTTCAAATTTACAGAAGCAATTAATTAGAGAGTTGTATGTTATCACATCCGGTTCACATCCTGCATCTTTCATTTCCTCAAATACTGTAATTGCTTCAGTTAATAATCCTACCTTTCCGTACCCATCAATGAGAGAATTATAAGTGACTAAGTCTGGCGTAAGACCCTTCTGTTTCATTTGTTCAAAAAAATTCCTAGCAGCTTCTAGGTCCCCTTCTTTGGTAAAATAGCCTATCATTATATTATATGTGAAAACCGAGGGCGAAAGGCCAGCGCCAACAATGTCCTTGAAAAAACTTATTGACAATTTCCCTTTGCCTGATTTTGAAAGCCTGTGAAGAAGGTCATTACAGGACCTCATTTTTGGCAGAACCCTGAACTTGTTCATCTTCCTAAAGCATTGACTAGCTTGCTCAAGCATCCCCAACTCCACTAAGACACTAAACAAAGTATCAAACACACCAAACCCAGGCCTACAAACATTCCTGGTCAACCACAACATATCAAAGCAATCACAACCCGGAAGTTCCCTCCTCAACAAAAACCACTCCTTAATCACATTTCTAGCATCAAGATAAAATTTCCCACAAAACAAAATGTGAGCCATGATACAATAAGACTCCATAGAGTTGCAAAACCCAACTCTATCCCCTGCCCACTTGAACAACTTCAAGGCCGATTTTGGGTCCTCTTTCAGTTTCACCAAAGCCTTAGACACCAAAATGGGTGCCAATGCGGAATCAAACATATGGGGACAATCCTGTTGCAATAAACTACGCACTGTTTCGGAAGCAATGTCATCAAAAGAAGGTTTTGAGACAAAAGGGTATCTTATAACACAGAGAAAGCTAGTGAACCAAATCATGGGGCAAGCAAAAATCGAAATTTGAGAGGACGAGGATGAAACAGTGAGGAAAAGAGAAAATGGGTTTTGAGGAAATGAGGAACAGAAGGAGCTTACTCGGGGTGAGGCCCTGCCACTGATGTGGAAGAGGTTGCGCTTAAAAAGCAACATGTTTGGTGAAAAACAACTTCAATTACAATCTTGTTCTTCTTCATATTGGGGGTTGGAGTTGGTAGTGCATGAACTGTTCATTGCTTAGAGTAATGGAATGAAGTGGAGATGGATGATGCTTTGAGGAACAAGAAGCAATGAACGCTGTTAGGGTTAATGAAATACTTGGGGAAGACCATTCTGTTCATTGCGTTAAAATTCGCAGTCATTTTTTCATCTTTTTGGTCATTTGTTTATGGGTTTTTTTTAGGGAATAGGATATTGTGATAACGTTACTGCTAATATTACTACCACATCTTAATCGTTGATTTCTGTCAATCAACGGTTATCATTTATTGTGAATTAATAATTAATTAATGAGTTTGATTTAAAAATGATAACCGTTGATTGGCAGAAATCAACGGTTAAGATGTGGTAGTAACATTATTTGGTTGTCACAATATCTTATAAATGACGTTGTTTTGAGACAGAAATTAAGATATTTTTATAATTATAATTTATTTTAAAATTATAATAATTTTTTTAAGGAATTTACATTTATCATTTAACATGACACAATAAAGTTTTTTACACACAACATTTTATAAGGCCCATATTTTTTGAGGAAAAAAAAAACTATGGCACGCAAAACGAATCTCTATAACATTATACAATCACTTTTTTTTACAATATAACTCTTATAAAACCCTTTTTTTAATTATAATTTTTAAGTTTTCAACCTAAAACAATATCGTCTTGACACCAAATACAGATAAATTTATCTATATTTTTCTTTGTTTATTTATTTATTTTCTTTAGGTTGAGGGACAATTTGTTGTCTTTTAACTATTTGACGAGGAAGCCATGAGATTGAAGAAGGAAAAAATTAGTCTTATGTTATAGGATTTGGTGTTTGTCATTTTAAATGACATAAATTATGTTATTTTAGGAGAGAGATAGACACAGAAAAAACGAAAATAATGTGAGGGAGAAAGTGAGTGGTTTTTTTAATTTAAAATTTAAATTTTCTGTGTTTGTATCTCTCTTAAAATGACATAATTTTCTGTCATTTAAAACGACAAATATATGATAAATTTTTCTCTTACACACTCTTCGATAACGGTGCTACTTTTTTTTCTTTTCTTTCTATTTTTCAGAGGCAATGGAGTAATGAATTCAAATTAGAAAATTAGATATATTATTAAATATTCTTAATTTATGAATTCTCCCCACAAATTTATCTCTATGCATGAAATAACTTATCTCCTTTAATATGAGATTAATAAAATTCATTGAAGAATTGGACTATAAAGCTAAAAAAAATTATTTTGAACCGAGTTGGTATTTTTCTAAATTTCTTTATGTAGATAATTGGTTCAGTCAGTAATAAAAAATTTAAGAACTTATATATTTTTTTCATATATTTTTTTAATACTTATATTATTTGAATAATTATAAGATCTAATAATGTTCGAACCAGACTGGCCGAAGGATGAATTTGTTGAAGAGCTCAAAAATATAATATAATTTTTAATAGGAAAAAGTATTTGTCATTTTAAATGACATAAAATTATGTCATTTCAAGAGAGAGACACACAGAATTTTTATTTATTTAAATTTTAAATTAAAAAAAACCACTCACTTTCTTTCTCTTATGATTTTCATTTTTTCTGTGTTTATCTATCTCCAAAAATGACATAATTTATGTCATTTAGAATGACAAACATCAAACATTTTTTAATATGATATTTCTTTTTTACTTTTATTTTTATTTTTGGTATATGATATTTGGGATAGGATATTGTGACACCCAAGTTATGTTACACTCATGTGACACCCAGTCAATCTCACCGTTAGATCGCTTATGTTGATCCAACGGTTATATTTATTTCCATCTTTGTATGGTCATGATTTTCCAAATTTAAAGTGAAAGCATTAAATATGGGAAATCATAACCATACAAAGGCAAAAATAAATATTAAATATTAAATTTGGGAAATCATGACCATACAAAGATGGAAATAAATATAACCGTTGGATCAACATAAGCGATCTAACGGTGAGATTGACTGGGTGTCACATTAATGTAACATAACTTGGGTGTCACAATATCCTATCACATGATATTTCGTATTTTTAACAAATCAAACTGATTCGAAAAATTAACACAACGTTAAATTTTATCACCCCAACTAAAAAAAATGTAGGTCAATTTCAAACGCTTAATATCTATTAAAAAAATAATAAGCTAAATATATTTTTTCGTTATATGATTTTTTTTTAAAACACTCTTTTTTAACAACAAAGAAAAACACACAAACTTCTTTCTCTCTGATTAATTTTAGGAAGATAAGGTTGATAATCTCTTAAAAATATGACTACTTTTTAAATATGTGCTTTGCTTATCAAACTAACTTTAAGTGTTTATTTTTATTTTACTTTTTAACTTCTCTTCTTTTTATAAGTAGAAGTTAGATCAAAAATTTTTTTACAAAAGTTCTTATAATAAAAAAAATTATAATGAAGAAAAAAATCAAAAGCCAAAAGCTCTTAAAATGAGCTTTTTTTTAAGTTGTATTAGTTTTTTCTGAAATGTATGTTTTTTTTTTTAACATGAACAGTTTTAAGTAATCTTTAACCTAAATTTTTTATATAATTATCAAACAGCTTGTAATTTTATTTTTAAAGCTTTTTTTTTAACTTTAGTTTAAAACTTTTAACTTAATAAAAAGAGGTGTGAAACAAGCTTTAAATTAGATAAGTTAATTCTAGACTTCTAGTTGATCATAAATGTGGGTTGAGTAAAAGACTAACTAATAGCGAGTCAAGTGTAGTTTAGGTCGTCAAATTGTTTATCCAAAATTTATCCTATGCAGATGATTGTTTATTTTTTTTTTGGTAAACGATGATTGTTTAAATTAACTTGTTGGTTTGCTTGCCAAAATAAAAATAAAAATTAACTTGTTGGTTTGCTTGCCAAAATAAAAATAAAAATTAACTTGTTGGTTTGTATTTCCTTTACTTATTTATATAATCAAAATTTAAAAATATTAATTTAAAAATATATTATTTAATTTATAATAAAAATTCAAATTGATTCATATTAAAAGATTTGGAAATAAATTTTATTTAAAATAAATGAATGTTTATTTTAAGATTTAATGTAATTAAAACTTAAAAAAGAAAAACTTAATAATTATAACATTTAATTATGATCTTTTTGAACTTGTGAAAAAACGCAGTCCGTTGCAGATAATTTACTTCTGGTCGAGTTTAACTGTGTCATCAAAGTCAGATCAATTTTTTTTCTTTAATGTTATCAGTCTAACTCATACATTGTATTCAGATTATTCTAGCCACAGCATATATTTTAAATTAAAAAAAAAACACCTAAAGTGAATATATCTCCAAAATGCAAAAACAAAAAGTATACATTTGGATTGAATTTAAAGTATAGGATAATGTTAACTCATTGAAATTGCAAGGATTAAAACACTCTTATTTATAAATTGTATACACACCAAATAATAGTAGTTCAATTGGTACCAAAAAACTGAACAGGTAGGGTTTCTTTCCAATATCATTTTTGAAAGAAGTTTAAAGTCTTAATCTCATGACCTATCCCGAATCAAACTAATCACAAAACAATGAACCCGATTAAAATACCTCCAAAAATAAACTTTACATACAAACTCAATCTAAAAAACTCTTATCCTTAAAAACCCTATAAAGTTAACTTTGATTAAGCATTACTGCATCATCCAATCACGTGGCAACAAGATTAAGGTTATCGAAGTTAAACTCCTCTCTAATCATCATTTTCCCATTACTATCTGATATTGTAATGAGTTTTGCAATACAAGACAAATAATAATCGCATAGAAGTAACAAATGGGATTACATTATAGGAGTCGGGAAAGTGGACCCCAAAAAGCATCTGATAGGAGCTGAAGCGGTACAAACAAGGGACAGCAGGTCCATGGCTGCATCTTCATGTCTTCTCTCTCTCTCTCTCTCTATGCTCATTGGAAGTTGAAACAGAAAAGAAATTGTAACCTTTGCAACTTAAAAGCTTCAACCCCTAAGAGGTACTTGCTTAGAGCATAGAAGAACACACAAACTGAGTACTGCATCTGCACTGCATTATGTAAAGATTGCATTTTTGCTCCAACAAGACCAACCCATTTATCAATTATGGATTATGAAAGGATCCAAAAGCCTCAGGTTTTTCTTTCTCTCTAATTTGCTTCACACTTAGTTTTGTTTTTGCAATTTTTGATCTTTCACTATTACCAAAGTTCTATACTACTTGGAAACTAAGTATATCATTGTCAAAGTTGTTTACTCTGCTCGAGTTAACTGTAAACTGCAAACACTTCTTTTGATCTGTTCTTTTTTGGGGTTATCTGATTTGCCTTTTGGTATTATGGGAACTTGGGTTTGCAGGGTGGTGGGGGATTTTCACCTGGAAAATTGAGGAGTATGCTATTGGGTGTGGAGAAGAAGAGGAAAGAAGAGGAAGAGATTGGTTCTACTTTCAACACGAGATCTCAAATTTCAGACATGGATGAATGTGGTATGCTCTTTCACGTGATTGTTCTGGTTTCCTTGAAATTATAATGCTGGGCAGAAGGTTGAGAAATAGTAAATCTAAGATTTTGAGTTTCTCAAAATGTAAGATTTGATTGAGTGTAGTGATTTCTACTTCACTCTTGTTGCGTTGTTTCTTATGATGTACTCATTTCACTCCTCTAGTTTTCTTGTCACTGGAAATTTAGCAGTATGCTATGATTTAAATTAGATGCAAAAGGGGAGAAGAAAATGAAGAAAAGGGAACGAGACATTATTTGATTATATAATGTACTTGGTATCTCAAATATGGTAAACTACTGGTTGAACCTTGAGTCTATCTTTCTTTGGTTTGAAAAGTTTCAAATTCAGATTTTATATTATGATATTGTAAGCAGTGTCATATATGTATGTGTTTGTATTATAATATAATGGTTGGTATTTCCTACTTTGATTTCAGTAAGCTTGCTTTTATTTGACGTATTGGTTACAGGTGGTAGCAGTTCTGATCATTGTAAAGATGTAGATGTTGTGAGTGTCCTTCCTGATTATTCAACTTCAGCTACAGCTCGCACCTTTAGCATAGAGGCAGTTGGTGGTGATCGTATTCTGAAGGCTAACACAGCAGTGACTTCAGGGCATAGAACCCTAGAAGACCCTTCTTTAGATTATGATAGTGGCAATGATAATATAAGCATGTCCTCATCAATGTTTGAATTTCAAAAGTCTGAGCGTGCTTCACAGAGAGTGCCTATGGGGCCATTCTCAAAACCAGCACCATCTAAATGGGATGATGCTCAGAAGTGGATAGCAAGTCCAACATCCAACAGGCCAAAGATAGCACAGACACAGGGGCAAGGTGGACAAGTAGGACTGCGTAAGGGTGGCAGTCTTGGTTATGGAAGCCGACAATCTTCAATGAAGGTTGTTGTTGAAGTTCCAGATCAAAGAGAAATTGCTTTAGATGAACCAGATACAAAGCAAATCGATACAAATCAAACGAAGATGGAAAGTGGAGGACAGAAGTGTGTGGGTTGGGAGGCTGACCCATATGCAATTGCAAATTCTTATGGTAAACTTTTGATCTTGTTTTAGAATTTTTTTATTGGAAGTCTTCACATAAACATGCTTTTTGTCTATTCAAAATGCGTAAAATTTTTGCTTTTATGCTATTTTTGTGAAAAATTATGTGGTCTTTTTTAACTTCCACTATGTCCAGTTGATGCAGGCTATGCAATTCAGAGGACGTAAGCTTAAAGATCACAATTAAAATTTAGGTAGATTAGTGTTAATTTAGTTAATAGCTTATTTTCTGGTCTAGAGGTATTTGTATGGGCTTTAGATTTGTGGGCTTTTCTTAGGTTATTATTATTTTTAGGACCTTTAGGCTTTTATGTTTATTTGTGTAACAGCCTCAAACCCTGTAGCATGATATTGTCCGCTTTGCCCCGCGCACAAGCACCGTCGAGCTCACGGTTTTGTTTCTTGGGACACCCCACAAAAGGCCTCACACTAGAAGAGGTATCCACACCCTTATAAGGCATGCTTCGTTCCCCTCTCCAACCGATGTGGGACATTACATCCTCCCCCACTGGGAATACAGCGTCCCCGCTGTACACACCGGTCCAGGGCCAGGCTCTGATACCAAAATGTAACAGCCTCAAACCCTGTAGCATGATATTGTCCGCTTTGCCCTGCGCACAAGCACCGTCGAGCTCACGGTTTTGTTTCTTGGGACACCCCACAAAAGGCCTCACACTAGAAGAGGTATCCACACCCTTATAAGACATGCTTCGTTCCCCTCTCCAACCGATGTGGGACATTACAATTTGCGGCTGTTTATTCAACTTGGGCCTTAAGTTATGGTTTACTTGATCCCCAAGTTTGATGAGTCCTGTATGAATGATGTAATTAACTATCAAAAGTAGAAAATCAAAGATAAAATTTTCTGTGATAATTCCAGCTGCTAGGATCGTGATGCATCTCTTTCTTTTGGTAAAATTTGTAGTCCAATAGTAGTAATACTGAAAGAGTGGGTACTACTGCAATTCATTTTTTTGCATTTAAGTTATTTTCAAAACATGGTCAGAGTTGAATGCTAATTTAGAAGGTGGCTAAGTATTTATTAAAAAAAATGAATGGTGGTAGTACCCACTTTTTCAGTACTGAAGTTGGACTATAAATTTTCCCAGTGTAATTCCTTAACTATAGGTGAGATGCCTTGGTATTTTCCCTGCTTTTATCTTCTTTTGTAGTTTTATTAAGTTTATCAACAACCTGGATCAGATATTTTGGTAGAAAGAATTAAACCTTCATCCCATCAAATCCTTTATTATTCCTTGCTTGAATTTGCCCGAAATACCATCAAACCCCAAGTCCTAATCTTGCAGCTTCTGTACATGGCAACCTAAGAGCTACCAATCTAGACCTATGATGCTTTCCTATTGCCTGCAAACCCTATGCCTTCCACTGTCCCTGCATCACCAGTGAAGTGATCAAATTTTGACAATATTCTCTTATGACATTCTGCATTGACACGAGATAATCACTTGCCACCAAAGTGGATATACAGTAAATTGACTTCTTATACCTTTTATATGGTTTTGCAACAAAATTTTCCTATAAAGATGTAGATAAATTGTGAAATAATCCTCTTCCGAAGAGTAACTCAGCTGGCTGTATATTGGAAAAATGGATTGTAAGTTTTTTTACGGGAGCATGACATAAACAAAGGAAGACGTCAACCTAAACTTATTTGGGTGAGAGTAGTAAGACAATACTTAGTAAAGTGAGAAATGGATTGGTGTGCGGTTTATCTTAGGACGGAGTGGAGAAAAACTATTAGCATGTGAGGGGATAGAAATTTTTTATGTTTCTATTTATATATTTTATGTTTTTATTATATTATTTTTCTTATTCATTATTTATATTTCCTTTATCTGTTAATCCCTTCTTTTATATTTGTTTATGTGATGTTGATGTTGATGTTGATGTTGACACTGGAATGCTTGAGAATTCTCTATAATCCTATAACTAGAAGTTGCTAATACTGCGGACATCATTGCATTTGAAGCAATTAAATAAATCATGTCTTGTTTAATTTAGTAATTATATTACATTCAGTCCATTCTCACTAATTCTCTTTGTTGTCTTGTTTTCTTTCTGCTATTTGATATTGGTAGTTAGTCTCAGTCAGCATAATTCATCCATTGCCATCCAGAGTGCAACAACATTTGTTCCTCCCCCTTCAACAGCTCGGTCTGTATCAATGAGAGATATGGGTACAGAAATGACCCCTATTGCTAGCCAGGAGCCATCAAGAACTGCTACACCAGTGAGGGCAACAACACCAATGCGCAGCCCTAACTCTTCCCAGCCATCTACTCCCACCAGAGCTTCCCCAGTGTCAATTTTAACTGATCCACCTAGGGACAATCTGCATCTTAACAAGAATGAATTGTCTGAAAAGGAGCTACAAATGAAAACCAGGCGAGAAATAATGGTCCTTGGGACACAACTAGGTAAAATGAACATTGCTGCCTGGGCTAGCAAAGAAGAAGAGGATAAGGTTGCATCTACTTCATTGAAAAATAAAACAGCTGAACAGCCAGCTAAGAGTGTCATTGAAGCACGTGCAGCAGCATGGGAGGAGGCTGAGAAGGCTAAGTATATGGCCAGGTCAAGTTATTCTAGTTATGTATTTTAACATTATCCGTTAATTTTTTGGTTCCTATCCTGTAACTTCTATTGCTTTAGAGATATAGAGCGACAAATATGCCTCTATTTAATATTTTAAGGTTTAAGGATAATTGGTCCTTGACATGGTACCTGAGCCTCTTGGCCAAGTGATAAGGAATTTGATCCTTGGCAATCCCGTTATTGATAATGAAATTAAATTTTAACAGGAAGTAATTGGGCTGCCCAAAAATCCCTTTAAAGAGGGGAATGTGATATCTCAAAGATATATATCCATTGATGGGCCTTCACTAATAACTTAAGCTTTCAAGACTCAAGAAATTGGGCCTTGACAATTGTCTATTATTTTTCTTATACATAGATCCATGAATATTTTCCAGAAGAATCTGTATCTAAGACTCTCTTTTTGTGTTCAATCATACGAATGTAGTATTTCTACTAAATTTCTTCCATAAGTATCCTTGTATAAAACTCTTTCATGTTCGTGGATCCCCCTGGTGTCTTGCTGACAATGTACTTGGATTTCTATGTTCTGCTGACAATGAAGAATCTAACCAGGAGAAGTGAAAAGAAAAGAAAAAGACAGATATAGCAGACGAAACAAATACTGTTACAAGATTGTTGAAAAGTTTTAATGCTATAAACTGCAGTGCAGCACTTAAGTGCTCTAATTCTTTTACTTATGTTGATCTTAATCATTTCATCATTTATAGCGATTCAAGATAAAAAAGATTATCATATTGGCATTCTTACCTAACTCCTTTAAACCTTATTATTTGCATTCTCCTAACAGTTCTTTATTTGTTTGAAAGTAACTGAACTGATATGTGTATTCCACAAGGAACAAAAAAACAGAAAAAATTTAAAAGCCAAGAACGAACTTAAGGCATAAGGACCTGAATTCACTGGTGATGTGTGGGGTTATGGGTGTGTATTTAACTTTCATATCTGTCAGTTCCTTGGCATATTATATCTTACACATAGGAAAAATAGCTTAAGACTAATTATGGATATCTAGTACAGATATATGGATGTGTTTCTTATTTGTGTCAAGATGAAGAAAGACGAATAAACTTTCTCTATATAATTGATCAGAGTTTTGGAACATGAGACCAATATTTTTTGAGCATCTAACCCATTTCAGAAATGTATGGGCTATATTATTTTTAGTATTGCTACACTCTAATTTTTCTCTGAAGCAGGAATATGGTGTTAACTATGCAGGTTTAGGCGTGAGGAGATGAAAATTCAGGCATGGGAAAATCATCAGAAAGCAAAAACAGAAGCAAAGATTAAAAAAATTGAGGTACACATGGTCTGTTATTATTACTAATTTTGTTGTTTCTAGCATGGCTGTTTAATTTAGTTTTTTGGGACAGCCCTTTGGATGTTAACCTCTAATCCTGATATGAAAAAATGGATGGGTCAGCCCAACAATGACAAAAATCATTTGTGTAATGGGATGAATAAGATACCCTAAATTGGTACAGAATGTGCAATCTGAAAACAAAAACGAACTTCTAATATATTTTAATCTATATCTTACTATAATTTATAGGGATAGGATATTGTGACACACAAATAATGTTACGCACAATGTTACGACCACATCTTAACCGTTGATTTCCGCCAATCAACGGTTATCATTTATTGCGAATTAATAATTAATTAATGAGTTTGATTTGAAAAATGATAACCGTTGATTGGCGGAAATCAACGGTTAAGATGTGGTCGTAACATTATTTGTGTGTCAGAATATCCTATCTCTAATTTATAAACTTAGATTGAACTTAGATTGACTTCATGAGTGGTCTAACAGGTCTGGGAGGAATATCTCAGTTTTAGTATTCAATTTTATCTATACTCTCTTTGAAAATATATTGCTCGGAGAAATTGATCTACCATTTAATGTTCTGCAAAGTAAAACAAGAAAGGGGACAGTTTGCTGAAGCATGTTAAGAATGCAAAAGTAAATTTATCCGATATGGTTATATTAATCTTTCAAGCTATATTTTGTATTTTATCTATTCTAGGTTCTCATATTATTATTCTATTATTCACTCGCTGGTTTCCAATTTTGGCCTTTTATAAGCAATTTTTCTTGATGTATGATGCATGCTCCGGTAGTTATTAGTGTTGTGTATAATTGGACATCCTTTTTGTTGCTATCTGATGTGATAACGCATCATGTGTGGCCCATTATGGTTCTTCTCTTGTGTTACTGATTTGAGAAAGCTTTAGTAAATTTCCAATGAGTGAGAAAGATGCCATGTGCTTTTCTCCGATTGGTATATGTTGTTTATAAAGGCTTTGGGCACTCCCACCCTTTGAGTTAGCTTTTAGGTGGTGTATCCCAAGGTTCTTTACATGGTATCAGAGCCTCGCCGCCTCTCACTTTCTCTTGTGGAATTTCTTAGCACAGGTAGGCTGGGCCTGTTGCATCATCCACTCTTCAAGCCCAATGAGCTCTTGTGTGAGGGGGCGTGTTGTTTATAAAGGCTTTGGGCACTCTCACCCTTTGAGCTAGCTTTTGAGGTGGTGTATCTCAAGATTCTTTACAGTATAGAATTCGAGGTCTCTTGAAAAGCATGCATTAGCATAAAATAAATGTGTATTTTGTCCCAATAATGAAATAACTGCCTACTCCTTCCGAGAGAATATGTTTATGTTTAATCCTTTAGTCTGTATGTTTTCGCTTTAAATTGGGAACTATGTTAGATATAAAGGTTCTTGACATTGTATTAGAGTCTAATCCTTGTTGCTTTCATGCCTTTAAATATAGTTGAATTTTCGGACAAGGTAAAATAGGCTTGGTGAGACATTTAAGTTTTTATGGGAGTTGGTTTCTTGACCTACACATCTTAATAGGAAAATCAAGATGTTAGTGTTGAAAATTAAATAAGCATTGATGACTTGTATTAGATTTCTAACGTTTTAGCAAACCTACTTTCCCAGCAATAAATCAAGTAATCAAAATAATACTGTGTTACCAAAAAAAGCTTTGTTTAATTACCCATACTTTTACTTACTACTACTACTACTAATAATAATAATAATAAAAATAATATATTGGTTGTAGGTAGAGGTTGAAAGAATACGGAGCAAGGCACATGATAAGCTTATGAATAAGTTAGCAGCTGCAAGGCACAAGGCTGAGGAAAAGCGAGCAGCAGCAGAAGCAAATAGAAATCATCAAGCTGCGAAAACTGAAGAGCAAGCAGCGTATATACGAAGAACTGGTCATGTCCCTTCCTCATATTTATCATTTTCTTGCTGCAGTTGGTGCTCTTGAACAAAGGCTGTCCTTGTCATTTGTCAATGTTTTATTCTTTTTATAGGTATCCAATGGCATTTGTTGTTGTATTTCCTTTGCGGTGTAAAATGATTACAGTGTTCTTGCAGAATAATTGCAATTTAGAAGATCTGTGTTATTTGTCCAGTACTCCAGTCTTTATAGGAGCTGGACATTTGTCTCATAATAGTCTTGTGACTTGAAAATTCACAAGCGATTAATTAATGTGATGTAGGATTTACATGATACATTGTTGACTTGATTTCTTTTATCCCTATTATATAATCATGTATTGTAACATAAGCTAGGAAACCCCTATTGGTATCTAGGTGGGCTGTGGGAGGTTAACAGGATCAGCACTACTATTGGCCTAGTTAGGGACCATAAAGTTTGCTTTGTGGAGTTAATTTTCACACTAAAGTACAAACAAACAAAAAAAGATGTTTAATGTGTTATTCTCGTAACTAGATAAAAAAATTGAAGTATGGTTAGTGAGACTATAATTTTTGTCCCTTTAACACGAGAGATTTTTAGACTTTGTTTGGGAGTGTTATTATTTGGAGGGGAAAGTTTATTTATGCTTTCCTCTCATTTGTGAGTTTAAAAAAATATGGAAAAAACTCTTCTTACCCTTAAAATTAAAACTCCCTTAATTTGGGGGATTTGAGAAGAGAAATATTAAAAATTATTTATATACCTTTAGCATTAAAATATAGAAATTACATAAGTGTGAATCATTTTTTAAATGTGACATTACTAAAAGTCTCAAATACTGACGAAATTTATCGACGAAAAATATTCTGTTGAAAATAGTGACGAAATTGACGGAATATTCGATGAAAATCATATTCGATTGAAAATAGAGACAAAAAGAAAATTTCATCAAAAATTTCGATAGAATTCGTCTTTTCGTCGAAAATTTCGATAGAATTCGTTTTTTCGTCGAAACTATCGATGGAATTTTTTTCCATAAAAAATATTTAAGAGATCATTTTTGTCAAAATTTTTTATGGAAACTAAATTCCGTTGAAATTTTCCTAACGGGAATTTTTTTTTGTAAGAAAATAAAAAAATGTCATAATCCGCGTGAAACCTCACCCCATGCCATCAATCCACATAGGGGTGATAAACGAACCAGGGGCCTTTGACTCGGCTCGTGAAGCCTGAGCTTACATGCTTAAAATTGATTGTTGGAACCAGGCTTGTACTTCTATAAAAGTTCGTTTAATAAGAAGACCTTAGGCTCCAATTCAAAAGCTCGGTGTTAGAGCCTTTCAAGTTGGCCTAGTATATTAATTTTTATTTTTATTTTATATTTTTTATACTACTTGTAATAGCTTGCTTTCTCTCCTCAATCAATTTCACCCTATTTTATGTGTTTAACATATTTTTTGAATGATTTTGTTCTATATTATGTTGTTTGGATATACATTGAATTTATGAATATTTATAGAATTACTAATGTTGTTGATTGTATATTCTGTTTGGATAAATTTTTATTGTCTTAATTTTTTTTAAACGGGCTAGGCTAAATCAGGCTTTTATTTTTTGTAAATAAGTCAGGCCACATGCCAATAATTATATTCATAACAGATGACAGGCTTGGGTCAGGCTGACACATTTAAACACAGACTTAGCCTTCCAAGACCAAGGCTCGGCCCATTAACACTCCTAAATGCACGTGAAAATTTTCGACAAATTTTTTCCGTCAAAAATTTTGACAAAAAAAATATATCATCAATTTGCGTCAAACCTCACCCTGTGTCATCAATCTACATGGAAATTTTTGACGGAATTCATTAAATAATTATAATGTTAATGCTTTTTTTTTTTATACGAAAAAGCAAGATTTTCTACATATTATTTTTCATCAAAAATCTTGATGCAAATTTATTTTTGTCGAAAATTCCAACGGATAAAAAACAAAGCATATTTTCGTACCTATCATTAAGTACAGTTTGCTAACTTATTCACCTTCTAAATTTTTTTCTACCAAAAACAATACTCAAAAAATGTGTTTAGTAAATGTTAATTGAATGTTTTAGAAAAAGAAACATAATTTTTAGAGAGAAAATAATTTTATATAGAGAGGATATTTTTAAATATGAAAATTTCATAAATAATTTTTTTTGAAATTTTAAAGTTAATTTTATTTGTAAGTATAATAATTATATTAACTTTTAAAGAAAGGGTAAAATGATAAAAAAATATCTTATTAACCCTCAATTTTTCTCCATTTTCTTTCCCTTCCTTCCATTTAAATTACTTTCCTTTCCTTCCCTTTCCCTCTAAACTCCCAAATAAAGTCTTAATGGATGGGGGTGGGGGCAATAGCATCCGGGATGGAATTTGCTCACTAAATATTGTGTGAGTTTTTTTTGTTTTTCATATTTATATTGTTTTCACAATTTTGATCCGGGTGTATTGAAGGTTAAAAGGTCTCCCTAATAGTATTTTTCAAGTATTGAACTTTTCATATCTTAAGATTCAAAGAGTCACTTTTAATGGTCGGCACTCATTGAATGAGGGTAAACTTTTAAACTAATTGTAATCTTACTCATTGGTAGAGTGTGATGATGAGTCCATTGCATTATTAAAGATAGGGCGAAAATTTAAATTTTAGACAAAACAATTGTTCGAGAGGCTTTCAGCTATGACAATATCAAAAGGATAATTTTATAATAATGCATGTAGAAGTACCTTAACCTTAAGATTAAGTATCTGTTTAACATGTCTTACTTTTAACTTTTCTTCTTCTTAAAAGCAGAAATTTAGTTAAATATTTTTATTTATTTTTTGTAAAAGCTCTTATTATAAAAAAAGTTTTGGGAGAAAATGTATTTGATCCTCTCCAATATCATCTTTTGGAGGAGTTTAAAACCTTAATCTAGACCCGCCCGATCAGAATTGCCTCCCATAGAAGATATATATGATTTATCCAAAAAAAAGAGCTTTTTTTTTATAATACAAAAAAAAAAGCTAAAAGCTTGCAAGATGAGCTTTTTTTGTAAGATATATGCCATCTTTTTTGACTCTTTATATTTATTTTACAGTTTTATCCATATTCTAAATTTATATTTATAAATTTTATCATTTATCCTAATAATAAATTATTTTATCTTTTTTCTTTTAAAATCATCAAAATAACTTTATATAATTACCCAATAACTTTTAGTTTTATTTTTTAAGTTATGTCTATATAATTACCCATATGAGAGGATCCATTTCCAACAGTAATACCGCTTTAATTTAGACGAAATTCTAATATATATTTTAAAGGAGAAATTCTGATAATATTTTATCGGCTGATGTTTGATTTAAATTTTATTAAATGTTTATAAAAAAAATTATTAAATGTAATTTGATTTTAATCTAAAGGCTTGTATGATTACGCTGTCCACTGTCATTCTTTTATTTGATTAGGACCGTCTCTCGTTTCAAACACACCTTCATGTTTTAAGGAAAAAATAATGGTGAAACAAAAGCCTTAAAACTTTTTGCATTTCACTAAAGATTAACCATTAAGTCTATCATTATCTTTGAAAAGAAACATTATAAATATAAAATTCATGCATGAGTTATGTACGAGTGGATCATTTTTTGAGGTAAAAAAATAATACAAAATCTCAAGTAATATTTTGCCTAAACAAAAATTAAATTTGAGCAAACCATATCAATATAAAACTTATTATTTTCAAAACTACTTTATTGCGATATCAAATAATATTCACATATTTCAACTCCAATTTATGTGGCGTCTCTCTTTCATCACACGATCTCTGTTGGGTTTTCAACTTCAACAATTGTCATGGTAGTCCAATAGCCGCAACTTCATGTTCAGGCTCATCAGACTCAGCAACCTACCCCACTGCTTAAGATGAGGCCTTGAAGAGGAACACTGATTGCGTCTACTTTCTTGCATCTCCTTTGACATACAAATAGGTTCATTCCATGTCTTTTTCTATTTTCTATTTTACAAAAAAAAAACCCATTTTTTTGTCCTTTAGGAATTATATCATTTAACGTTTCGGATTTGTATGTTTTCAGGAAATAGTTTTGGTAATTATTTATATTTCAATAGCAAAAATTGAATTTTGATAAAAAGGGGAGGGGTTGCTTGTATGAAAATTCTCAAATTGAGAGAATTCTATAATTTTAAGGAAAAGAAGAATATTGGAGAGTTTTACAAAAATCTCATATTCTCTTCCTCTCATTTTTTAAAACTCACAAATAAAAGAAGATATAAGCAAAACTTTCTACTTTCTTCTCTTTTCCTCTAAATATTAACTTCCAAATACACCCTAAGTGACCACACAATTTAATTAATTTAGTGGGTGTTATAGAATGCAAGGATTATAAAACAATTTCCTTTCTTTCTTTTCCTTTCCCAAATATAGTATCCATTCATGAGTTACACATGAGTTGGTTATTTTTTGAGGTAAAAAAAAAAAAAAATACAGTATCCATTCATGTGTTACACATGAGTGGGTTATTTTTTGAGGTAAAAAATACAAAATCTAAAATAATATTCTACCTAATAAAAATTAAATTTGAGCAAACCATCTAAAATCATTATTTTCAAAACTAAAATTTACTCAAAATATCTCTTAACTATACGACCATTGATGAACTATTACCAAAGTTCATTGGTTAATTTTATGTAAACATTCTCAAGCATCAACTTTATTCTTTAAAGAAAAGTTTTTTGAAAAATGTTGTACTTAGGGCTATTTGGATGGGCTTGTAAAAAAAATGATTTTTTATGTTTTGTTTATAGCTTTAATGTTTCTATAGTGAATGTAGATAACTTATCTACATTTGCTCTCAAAACGACATCGTTTTGCGTTGAAAAGTTATAAAATTTTAATGAAAAAGATTATTATAACCTTGAAATAAATTATAATTATAAAAATACCTTGATTTCTTTTTGGAGGTTACAAGGAATTGAACACAACACCCTACACTACACACACTACGACAGCGTCTTGGGCTCAATATAGATAAATTATATACAAGTAAAAAAGCGAACTCTTTGTTTATTTTAGAAATGCTTTTTACAAAAGCTAAGAGGGGTGTAATGGATTGGGCTTTTAAAAGATTATTTTGAAATAAAAAATCTTATAGATCTTAAAAGACTATCTAGAATTGTAGTATTTTAAAGACATTTTTAAAAGTGTTTTTTACAATCAATATTTTTTAAT